CCTTCTGCTGCATACAAGAAACACACCTCAGCCTCAAAGACAGACATTACCTCAGAGTTAAGGGTTGGGAAAAGATTTTCCAATCAAATGGTCCCAAGAAACAAGCAGGGGTATCAATCCTAACATCTAACAAACTAGACTTTAAACTGAAATCAATCAAAAGAGATGAAGATCATTTCATATTCATCACAGGAAAAATCCACTAAGATGAAGTCTCAATTCTGAACATCTATGCCCCAAATGCACAGGCATCCACATTCATAAAAGAAACATTACTAAATCTCAAACCACACATAAAACCTCAAACACTTATAGTAGGAGACTTCAACACCCCACTGTCACCACTAGACAGGACTACAAGACAGAAACTTAACAAAAAAGCAAAGGAACTAATAGAAGTTATGACCCAATTGGGTTTGACAGACATATATAGAACATTCCATCCAAACAAAAAAATTATACCTTCTTCTCAGCACCACATGGAACCTTCTCAAAAATTGACCACATACTTGGTAACATAGCAAACCTCAACAGGTACAAAAAAAATTGGAATAACTCCATGTATCTTATTAGACCACCATGCATTAAAGTTAGAGTTCAACAACAAAACAAACTACAGGAACCCTACAAACTCATGGAAATTGAATAATGTGGTATTGCACCACTCCTGGGCCAATGAAGAAATAAAAAAGAGAAATTAAAGACTTCCTAGAATTCAATGAGAATGACGACACAACATACCCAAACTTATGGGACACTTTGAAAGCAGTGCTACGAGGGAAGTTCATCGCACTAAGTGCCCACATGAAGAAACTGGAGAATAGTTACACTAGAGAATTAACAACTCAGCTGAAAGCTCTAGAACACAAAGAATCAAACTCACCCAGGAGGAGTAGATGCCAGGAAATAATCAAATTGAGGGTTGAAATCAATAAAGTAGAACTAGGAAAATAATACAAAGAATCATGTAATAAAGAGTTGGTTCTTTGAGAAAATCAACAAGATAGACAAATCTTTATCCAAACTCACCAAATGGCAGAATGTGAACATGCAAATTAACAAAATCAGAAATGAAAAGGGGGACATCACAACGGACACTGAAGAAACCAAGAGAATCATCAGGTCATACTTTGAAAACCTGTACTCCACAAAATTCAAAAATTTAAAGGAAGTGGATGACTTCCTGGATAGACATCACCTGCCAAAATTAAATCAATATATAAGCAATTTAAATAGACCTATAACACCTAAGGAAATAGAAGCAGTCATCAAAAGTCTCCCAACCAAAAAAAGCCCAAGGCCAGATGGCTTCAGTGCAGAATTTTATCAGAAATTCAAAGAACACCTTCTACCAATTCTCCTCAAAGTATTCCATGCAATAGAAGCAAAAGGGTCTTTGCCAAACTCTTTTTATGAGGCTTCAATAACATTGATACCCAAGCCACACAAAGATACAACTAAGAAAGAGAACTTCAGACCAATTTCCCTCTATAACATTGATGTGAAAATACTTAATAAACTACTGGCAAATCGGATCCAAGAACACATCAGAAAACTCATCCACCATGATCAAGTAGGCTTCATTCCAGGGATGCAGGGATGGTTCAACACACGAAAATCTATCAATGTAATCCATCATATAAACAAGCTGAGAAACAAAAATCACATGATCATCTCACTAGATGCTGAAAAAGTCTTTGACAAAATCCAACACCCCTTCATGGTAAAGGTCTTGGAGAGATCTGGGATAACAGGAACATACCTCAACATAATAAAAGTTATATACAGCAAACCAACAGCCAACATCAAACTAAATGGACAGAAACTCTAGGCGATTCGGCTAAAATCAGGAACAAGACAAGGCTGTCCCCTCTCCCCATACCTCTTCAATGTTATACTTGAAGTTCTAGCTAGAGCAATACAACAACAAAAGGAGATCAAGGGGATACAAATTGGAAAGGAAGAGGTAAAACTTTCACTATTTGCAGATGATATGATAGTTTACATAAGTGATCCAAAGAGCTCTACCAGGGAACTCTTACAACTGATTAACACCTTCAGCAAAGTGGCAGGATATAAGATCAACTCAAGAAAATCAGTAGCCCTACTATATACAGACAATAAGAGGGCTGAGAAAGAAATCAGAGAAACATCACCCTTTACAATTACCACACACAACATAAAATACCTTGGAGTAACGCTAACCAAACAAGTGAAAGACCTGTATCGCAAGAACTTTGAGTCTTTAAAGAAAGAAATTAAAGAAGACACCAGAAAATGGAAAGATCTCCCATGCTCTTGGATAGGTAGGATCAATGTAGTAAAAATGGCAATCCTGCCAAAAGCAATCTATAGACTCAATGCAATCCCCATCAAAATCCCAGCACAATTCTTCACAGACCTTGAAAGAACAATTCTCAACTTTATATGGCAAAACAAAAGACCCAGGGTAGCCAAAACAACCTTACTCAACAAAGCAATATCTGGAGGCATCACCATCCCTGACTTCAAGCTCTATTATAGACAGGTAGACCAATGGAATTGAACTGAACACTCTGAGATTAATCCACAAACCAATGAACAGATGCTTTTCAACAAAGAAGCTAAAATTATACAATGGAAAAAAGATAGCATATTCAACAAATGGTGCTAGCATAACTAGATATTGGCATGTAGAAGACTGCAGATAGATCCATGTCTGTCACCCTGTACAAAATTTAAATCCAAATGGATCGAAGACCTCAACATAAATCCAGCCACACTGAACCTGTTAGAAGAGAAAGTGGGAGATACCCTTGAATGAATTGGTACAGGGGACCGCTTCTTGAACATAACACTAGTAGCACAAACACTGAGATCAACAATTAATAAATGTGACCTGCTGGAACTGAGTAGCTTCTGTAAGGCAAAGAACACAGTCAGCAAGACAAAAAGGCAACCCACACATTGGGAAAAGATATTCACTAACCCCACATCTGACAGAGGGCTGATCTCCAAAATTTAAGAAGAACTCAAGAAGTTATTTTCCAAAACACCAGTGGGGGACTGAACTAAATAGAGAATTCTCAATAGAGGAGACTAAAATGGCTGAGAGACACTTGAGAAACATCCTTAGCCATTAGGGAAATGCAAATCAAAACAACACTGAGATATCATCTTACTCCTGTCAGAATGTTTAAAATCAAAACGCCAGTGACAGCTTATGCTGGAGAGGATGTGAAGAAAGGGGAACACTCCTCCACTGCTGGTGGGAGTGCAAACTTGTACAGCCACTTTGGAAATCAGCATGGCGATTCCTCAGGAAAATGGGAATCAGTCTACCACACGACCCAGCAATTCCACCCTTAGGCATATACCCCAAAGACACCCATTCATGTCTGTTCCACTATGTTCATAGCAGCATTATTTCTAATAGCCAGAACCTGGAAGCAACCTAGATGCCCCTCAACTGAAGAGTGGATAGAGAAAATGTGATATATTTACATAATGGAGTACTATTTAGCAGAAAAAACAATGGAATCTTGAAATTTGCAGGCAAATGGATGGCACTAGAAGAAACCATCCTCAGTGAGGTAACCCAGTCACAAAAAGACAAACATGGTATGTACTCACTCATATATGGATTTTAGACATGGATCAGAGGAGTGTCAGCCTACAAACCCAGGGCCAGTGAGTCTGGGAAACAGGGAGGTTCCCAAGAGATATGCATTATACCCCAGAGAAGTGGAAAGAGGCAAGATCTCCTGAGCAGATTGGGAACATGGAGGGAGAGGAGGGAACCAGGAAAAAGAGAGGGGGATAAGAGGAGAGTAGAAGAAGACATGGGGGAGCAGGAAGGTTGAGTCGGGGTAAGAGTAGAGGAGACCAGGATGACAGATACCATAATAGTTGGAGTCATTATAGCTTTGAGAAGAGAGCTGACACCAGTGAGATTTCCAAAGATCTACAAGGATAACACCAACAGGAAAACTAAGTAATAGAGGAGAGACTACAATAATAGCCCCTACCTAATGATAAGGTTGATGATTTCCTTATATGACATCCTAGAACCTTCATCCAGGGACTGATGGAAGCAGAGAAAGATACTTACAGCTAAACACTGAACTGACCTACAGGAACCCAGTGACAGAGATGGAGGAGTGATGAGCAAAGGGGTCAAAACCGTGCTGGTGAAACCCACAAAGACAGCTGACTGGACAAGGGGGAGCTCTTGAACTCCAGACTGATGGCTAAGGGGCCAACAGGGGACTGATCCAAACTCCATGAATGTAGTGTCAGTGAGGAGGCCTCAGAAATCTCGGGGGCCTTGGGTAGTAGATTAGTGTTCATCATGGCATACAAATGAACTTTAGGAGCCCATTCCACATGGAGGGATGTTCTCTCAGCCTGGACACATGGGAAGGGCTGCCCTGGATGAAATGGCAGACTCTGGAGATCCCCCCAAGGAGGTCCTTACCCTCCCTGGGGAAATATGTGGGGATTGAGCTGGGGATGGGGGGGTGGGGGTCGGACTGGTAGGGAGAAGGGGGGGGAGCTGGGATTGTCATTTGAAGCATGCATGTTTCTAATTTTAAAAAACAGAAAAGAAAAAAATTCAACCAGTATTTATAATTACAGATTTTAATATATGCTAATTTTTACTACCATATATTAATTATATGTAATGGGTTCAATTCTGACATTTTCCTACTTGTACATAAAATATATTTAGACTATATTCACACGTACACCTTGTAATTTCTTTGCCCCTCCTGCTAACACCCTTTTCTTAATTAGCTCCCCTTCTACCTCTCTCACTTTGTGTGTGTATGTGTGTGTGTAAGTGTGTATATGTGTGTGTGTGAGTCTGCATGCAAACCCATGCATGTACTCTCCCTTGCCTAACCCAGTGAGTTTCATTATGGTTGCTTACAAGAGCTTGACTGAGTTGGCTGATAGCCATATGGACACCTTATCAGTGATTACAGTACCAAGAAAATGTCTCTGTCTCTCCCACCAACCTTTATCCATACATTAATCCTCCATGACAGGATTTTGATGGGACCACTCTGACGGAGATCTTGAGCAGGTTGCCATAGCTCCCGTGAATTCAAGAGTTCAACAGTCATGCCATGCATAGAAGTCAGCATTCCCCATCTTCCCTACCCCCGCCCTCCACTTTACATTCTTCTTCTGCAATGTTCCCCGAACCTTAGAGGAAGGGATATATAAGTATCCCTTGCCAACAGTCACTTACTCTCTGTCTTGTGATTGGTTATGAGTATCTGACATCACAAAAGGCCACTAACCTAAGCTGTGAGCAGCACTATTCTGTGGGCATGGTTACTTAGACAGCAATATGATAAGCACATCATGACCTGGGAAGTCTTTTGGATGGTTTTCCCCTCCAAGTGAAAGGAAAATCTGCCAGATATTTACAATCTCTCTCTCTTTTTATTTAAATTAGAAACAAGCTTACTTTACATGTCAATCCCAGCTCTCTCCCCCTTAACTCCTCCCCCTTCCCCTCCACTCTGATCCCTAGGGAGGGTGAGGCCTTCCATGGAGGATCTCCAGAGACTATCATTTCATTCAGGGCAAGGACTAGTCCCTTCCCCAAGAGTCCAGGCTGGGAAAGTATCCCTCATTGTGGATACTGATCCCCATAAATTGCCTAGGCCTCCTCACTGACACACACATTCTGAGGGTCTGGATCTGTTCCATGCTGGATTCCCAGCCATCAGTCTGGGGTCCAAGATCTCCCCCTTGTTCAAGTCAGCTGTTTCTGTGGGCTAAACTAGCCCAGTCTTGACCCCTTTGCTCATCACTCCTCCCTCTCTGTCACTGGATTCCAGGAGTTCAGTTCATTGTTAGCTTACAATATCTCTTATAAAATAACAACCTTATTAAAAAAAACCTTGTTTCCCTATGAAGTAACTATCAAAATTTGATGTTTGGCACTCTGAGATTCCATCTTATACCGATCAGAATGGCTAAAATCAAAAATACCAATGAGTTTATGCTGGAGAGGATGTGGAGAAAGGGGAACACTCCTCCACTTCTGGTGGGAGTTCAAACTTGTACAGTCGTTGTGGAAATCAATATGGAGATTTGTCAGAAAATTAGAAATCAACCTACCTCAGGACCCTACAATACCACTGTTGGGCATATACCCAAATGAGGCACATTCACACCACAAGGACATTTGCTCAACTATGTTAATAGCAACATTATTTGTAATAGCCAGATCTTGGAATCAGCCTAGATGCCCTTCAACTGAAGAATGGATAAAGAAACTGTGGTATATTTACACAATAGAGTACTACTCAGTGGTAAGAAACAACGGCATCCTAAAATTCACAGGCAAATGGACAGAACTAGAAAAAAAAAACATCCTAAGTGAGGCAACACAAAACCAGAAGACAAATATAGTATGTACTCACTCATAAGTGCATACCAGACATAATGCAAAAATACCTAGTCTACAATTCATAAACTCAGAGAAGCCTGAACCCTCTTCCAGATACAGATTTCAGGTAGATGCAGAAATCCACAACTAACCAATGGGCCAAGCTCCCGGAGTACAATCAAAGTGAGGGAGGAGCGATAATATGAACAAAGGAGTTAAGACCATGACAGGAAACCCACAGAATCAGCTGACCCAAGCTAGTGAGAGATCAGTGACTCAGGTCTGACAAATGGGGAACCTGCATAAAACTGAACTAGACTCCTTTAATATAGGTGACATTGGTGTGACTGGGACAATATATGAGGCCACTTGCATTGGGTCCAAGATCTAACTAACACTACTGCCCAAACTGACTTAATGTAGCCCATTCTATATGGTGAGATACCTTGTCCAGACTAGACACAGGGGTGTTGGGGGTAGAAAAGTGCCTTGATCTTGCCTCAACTAGATGATGGGACAGACTTAGTAGACTTCCTAGGGAGATCTTACCCTCTCCAAGGAAAAAATAGGAGGAGAGGGGAATGGGAGAGTGGGGGCAGAGGAGGGAGGGGAAACTGGGATTGGAATGTGAAAAATAAATTAATCATAAAAGGACGTCAAAAATTTGATGTTTTGCTGGGCGATGGTGGCGCACGCCTTTAATCCCAGCACTCGGGAGGCAGAGGCAGGCCGATCTCTGTGAGTTCGAGGCTGGGCTGGACCGATAGCCTCCAAAACAATACAGAGAAACCCTGTCTCGTAAAAACCAAAAAAAAAAAAATTGATGTTTGAACACTTCTTATCCTCAGTAATTTTTCCTACAAATATTCTTACATATATCTCTATACATTATTGAATTATAGCAAAACCTGGGAAACAAGCCAAGTATCCATCAATGGACTAGTAGATTCTTTCATAATGCTATCTAATGTAATATCATTGTGGTAGTTTGAATGTAATTGACCCCTATAATCTCATAGGGAGTGGCACTATTAGGAGGTGTGGCCTTGTTGGAGGACCAGTGTCACAGTAAGAGTAGGTTTTGAGGTTTCCTATGCTCAGGATACTACCCAGTGTGTCACATGACTTCCTGTTGCTTGCAAGCCAAGATGTCGCACTTTCAGCTACAACACATCTGTCTGTACTCTGCCACGCCCTTCATCATGATGATAATGGACTGAATCTCTGAAACTAGAAGTGAGATAACCCAATTAAATTTCCTTTATAAAAGTTGACTTGGTCATGGTGTCCCTTCACTACAATAAAAACCCTAACAGAGGCAATCAATTACATAGCTGCAGAAAGCTAAAAATGTTTTCTACGTAGTGATCTGTACATAAACATACCCAAGGTATTATAGATAAAGCAACTTGGAGAAAACAAAGAGTGAAGATATATAATCTTCTTAAATATTACATGTGTATATACACATACATGTCGCTATATATTCATGTTGGTTTGCATTGCTATAAAGAAACTGTAGGAAGATATATATATATATATAAAACTAAGAAAGCAGTTGTGCTGTTGGTACCCTAGATAGAACCTGGGTTTGGGGGAGCAGGATACACAGCAAAACATCTCACTGTCTACCTTTCTATAATTGTATTTGTGGGTGCCTATTGTGTCAATTAGTTGTCACATAATGCTGTCTTAGATCACATGAGACTTGAAAATTATTTATCTTCAAAACACAGGTCAGCTGATCAAGCTGGTCTCACAGAAGAGGCTTGGCTTCGGTTTTCAGTGCCTATACTAGCTCCAGTTCCCATTCAGACACATATATGTACTTCCGGTGTCATGCTCCTGAGCTTACAGAATCAGAAATATACGGCGGAAGGAGAAGCATGCAAAGTCTCTAAAGAATTAGGCTGAAAACGGCACAACTGCTGCTCCTATGCGTTAGCCAGAGACAAGCAGTTTGGTCAAATATCCCTGACTACAACAAAGACAATGTAAGGACCAGGATGCTGGGAAGAGCCCATGACTCACTCTATGACAGCTTCTAATCACTGACTGCATATCTCTCAAGATACTCTAAAATTAGAACTGAGAGTCATAGCAAAATTTAGGCATCATTTTTCTAAAGATTCAGCACTCTATGAACACATTTTTTACTTAAGAATTGTTATCAGTGTCTATAGAACATGGGTAGAATGGGATGGAAAAAATACATCTATGAATTCCTAGGACCGGAAGGGCTCTGGACCAAACTTTACCCAATGCCATTTATACATGAGGTGACTGAGCTCTAAAAAAATTAGGACAATCAAAAGCGCTGAGTAACCTGAGCAACAAGAAGCTCTGAAAAGGAGTTGTCAATCTCAAAATATACTTAGGATAAAAAAGTCAAAAAGGAATTTTAACTATGTTATAAGAATGTGTCTAAGTACATAGTATAAGATATTTAGTTTCTAAAAATATAAGTAACTAATGTGCTGACTTCTCCTCCCACCCCGTGTGTGTGTGTGTGTGTGTGTGTGTGTGTGTGTGTGTGTGTGTGTGTGTGTATGTGTTGGTCGGTCAGTCTTTCTTTCAAAACCAGTATCCAGATATCGTAACAAACCCAAGTAAAGTCTGAAAGTACCCCACAGCTTAACTAATTTTTTTTTCAAATTAGGAAAAATATAAAGGTCTGAGCCTAACAAAGGGTCACTGAATAGCATCCTGTTAAAAAACAAAAGCAACCCCACTTTGTAGGGAAAGTGTAGGTGTAGGTGTCAGAGGTTTCAGTCCATGGTCACCTGACTGCACTGCTATAGTCCTGAAGTAAGGCAAGAGCATCCTGGCAGTTCCTGGCAGCCTGACTGTGATGGAGCAAAGTGGCTCAATTTGGAGTAGGCAGGACACAGGCAGACTAGCTGAGCATACTTTTTGATGGCTATAGACTCGTTAATAATGTTACTAAGCAATGTTTTGGCTTAAATTGAAGTAAAATTTGAACCCATCCAAAGCAAAGAGGGAATTTATTACTTACATGATCAAAAATTCACTATAAGCTGGTATACAAATGGATCCAGGCAATGAAGCAATATCACCTAAATTTTCTCTCTTATTACATCTCTCAGTACTGTTTTCCTCTGTAGGGGTTTAAAGCTGTTGCCCCACTGATGTCAAGAAAGACCTCTGGTCTATCTCTCATTGGCCTGAAATAAGTTATATGCTCATCTCAGACCAATCAATACAGTTAGCTGTCCTTGTTCGAAGATATGATTTTAAAAACAAACAAACAAAATGGCAACGAATTTGAGAGTGTGGGTAGGGTAAACAAGGAGGTGAAGAGGGAAGGAAGAAATAATGTAATTACATTATAATCTCAAAAAATAAAAGAAATCATTTTTTAAAAAAGAGTTGTTGAAATGTTTCCCCCTTGAGTCATTGATGAAGTAAGTAAAGATGGGAATAGTGACTTTCTAAGTACAGTAGGCATTATAACCAGGTTGGGAGGGGAACCAGGGGAAAGAAAAACATCATATTTGCCTAAGTACTTACCGAGCATGACAAAATCTGAGCATGATGAAATGAAAGGATAAATAAGGAATTTATAGAAACCTCCAAAATAGTCTAATTTTATTTGGCTTTATGGTCCTGGAGCTAGTATAAGTTCTAGGTTCAAAGGAAGTTCAACAGTAATATCAGCCTTATTCCATCTATAGGGAGTCTACTTCTATTATATTTATACTGAATTCAATAT